TCCACTTTACAATAATTTTGTTTGTACAATTTTTAAATGAATTTTAATAGAACCAGCATAGTGGCTCATTTCGAGGGGTTATTTTCATTTATGTATTCTTTGATATTATAATAATCCTTTTTGGACAATTTTTCTTTAATAAAACATTAAAACATGTTTATTGAAAAATTTTGTATAGTTTCTGGGATTTTGTTGTAAAAGCGTATACATTGCCCCATATATGAATTACTTATTCTGTGGAGTCTAGTAACTGGTATATGAAGATTATATTTGTTCCTCGTGTATAAGGTATGAACATATTCTTATCAAAGCTTAATTCTAAATGTTTTTATGTACATACAGTACAATTTCATAAATATATTGCGATGCTAAAGTTAATATGTTTATTTCTTTAAATTAATGTATATTTTTATCATAATATGTAAATAAATTTAAGATTCTTGAGTAGTGGCTTCTTATCGGTAAACGAAGTGTATGTCGGCCTTTCACCAGATGGAGTGATGAACTGGTAAAATATGCAGGAAGTCGATGGATGCAGGTGGCTCATGCAGATCAACTTGTCAAGGGTTGATGACGATTATGATGAAATAAAATATGTAAAAAATATTATTAACCAGGGTATTTCAAGTGCAGCATAAGAGTTATTTCCATACAATATGTAGATCTATTTGATAATAAGCATTTTTAAGTATTTATTAAAATAAATCATATCTTAGACTATTACGTCACGCTAGGGCAAGACAAGTTACTAGCCATTTGCAATAATATATCTAGAGACCACGTTGTAATATGTTCTAAATATCGTTAATAACCGACATGTGACTATGCAATTAAAGGTGGTTGGAGGTATTGATGATTGGTTATTATTCAGTATGTCACTATTACATATCACTATATTAATATGTTTTAAATTCTAGCAGAAATGGTTGGCTCGACCGGTTATGGACCATGCTCTCACAGATTACAAAAGTAAAATAGCAGCTTAATGCTGCTGTGTTTCGCATGGTGAGTGTAAAGATCCGGGGACCCCATTTACTGATTACGAAACATTCCATCTTAGTCCTCACGGGTGATAACGCATCTGCATTTAGATTATTTATTGAAGATAGATGTAGATATCTATGGTTCACAGCAACCAATTACCATCAGGTGGACTGTGTGCTCGTTTGTCACCCTGTCCTATAAAAAAATAGACAGTCTGGGGGATATTTTCTACAATTGCCACGTTATGGAGGCGGTAGGCAACCGTATTTTTTATTTTCTAGTTGCTGTTAGGAAGACGCTCTGTCCCATCTCCTGGTTTGTTTCCCTCTATTGCCTTTTACGATCATGTGACGATATGAAGTGATGGATATTCTTAATCCTCGACTACACGCTGGACATATTACATGTGCACATATATTTTAAATATATTTACATATATGTATTTTATGTGTAGGTATACTATTTAATATAGATTTGTGAAGGAAAAAAATTACCTATATTTGTAAATTAGCGATAAAAACTGTATATTACAATTTTAGTAGTATACTACGGTTTCCATGCCTGTGTCATTATGTGTGAAAGCGCATATTTAACTCGTGGTGCTGATTTATCCCAATCTTATCTTACTAGCCAATTGCAGTTCATTGATTATGGACATGGGCCCCTTCCATTTGTAACGAACCCCCCCCCCCATCTTTTTTCTCTCTTCTACTATATCCCACTTATACTTGTATTTCTTTAGAATCTATATCTGTAAGATATATAAATATATCAAATTTACGTGACCAGTATAACTTGATCTTTCTAAAGGTTTAAATATAGGCCGTTTAATAAATTTATGGCGTGATCGTCTTAGTTAGGACCCTTTTTTACGTTGTGTTTGTATAGTAACTTAGTTCTTTTAGGTGTATCTTGGAAGAATGAATATTCACGAGAGCAATCGAAAGCTGTTGGTAGAGTCTTATAAGCTAGAGAACCCCGTTCACGAAGACAGAGCTCAAAAAGGTTAAGAACAATAAATTGTCCCTATTCCACTTGTATCTGGTTCACAACAGTCAATTCCTTATTAATTAATCCCTTCCCGCTTGGAAAAGGCTCACAATATTTATATCAAATACCAGTTACAAGGGCTTCGCTCTCCCACATTTTAAAAAAAAAATGTGGAGGAGGTACACGGCCCCACACACGCCGCGCACGGTGAGCGCCAACCATTTTAATGCGCTCCCCCCGAAGGGTACGCAAAGTTGGGAACTGGACCGTAGTCCACAGCAAAATAACTGGCGAACCAGTAAAAGAGGACTTGGCCCCTTGATAGTGCGTAAGCACAAACATCGACCGAAGTCGCGCATGTCAATGCGTGTAAACGCCATACAGAATACGATCAAATCCAGTCACAGTGAATGTACGTCACACGGGTTAGGCAACAATAGGCACACTGACCATAAAAAGCCTTCCGTGAGCGCCACCACCTGCCAGACCGCCGTTCCTGCAGACGTGATGTAAGTGTAAGGCATCACCACCAATTGCATGGTCAGCACGGCCAATTGGCCGCAGAGCGTGTCATGAGTCTACCGCTCACCTCAAGGGAATGGGGTCCCACGTTGCGCGGCTTTCGGCCGCAGCCTTGAGAGCCTCCTCAGATTCTCCCTCCAGCTACCACCCGCATGAGGTCAACACATATGCTCCACCAACCAATACAATGGCAGATATAGCCAATAGGCAGTTATAAGATAATATTAATAATTCGCCATCAGAAAGGGTTTGTGTCACTGACGTTGAGTATATGCATTTTTCGATCATGTTTGTCTCACCCACCAACAAGTTGCCTTCAATCTCTCAAAGGTGGGAACTTTATAGAGATATATTATTAAGTTGTTATATAAAACATCATGGAGGGCAGACAGTCTGCAGCCCCGCAATGAAGGGACCCGACTTGGGCAAAGCTACTTAGGTTGTGAGTCAAACCAAGACGCAGAGAGCGCCATTGAGAATAGCGACCCGCCAAACAACCGTCGTAGAGACGCAATGCTACAGAATGCAACAAGCATCAATACGACTATCGTCGGGCTTACACCATCCCAAGGTCCCCCATACAGTCCCAGCAGACATCACCACCCGCATACCTCCATCGACCAGAACCACAAGATGCATCGAATCAGGTGCAGCACACCCGCAGATCCATCACAAGACACAATACTGCAAGTAGCAGTAAGCATCAATGCAACTATCATACGGATGGCGCCCCCTCACAACACACCCACATGATCCCTATCGACTTTGGTAACAAAATTTGATAATGTTGTTAACTAAAAATACCACCAACGTATCATAGTAGTACGGTACTAAGACGTCAGTAGCCAAAACTCCACGTATCATAGCGCTATTGCACTAAGACATGAAGTTGAGTATGCTTGCTGCACTTAAAAGTACTACCAAACACACTCACCCTAATCCGAAAGATAGCCGACGTATCATAACGCTATGCGCTAAGACGCCGCCCACAACCGGTAGGGGTGTGCGATGTCCACGGGCAAGTCGTATTGCTACAACAAACCCGCTTACCACCGGCACTAAGATGATATGTCTAGGACACATCGGTTAGTGAGTCCAAGTTTACCTCGGTCTCAGAGGCTGCGAAGCAACCTACACGCCACTATAATAATCCTTTTCAAGTCCCATTTCTTTCAATATAATGCTTTTACATATTTGAGACCTTCCACATATTTGCTTTATTTCATAGACCATACTACTGTATGTCTTATTCATATGGGACTTCAAGTCATAACTCTGCTATCATAATGCTTATGCATCATAGAGACCTTCTATATTAATGCTTTGGTTCGTCAGACCTTACTATGTTAAGTCCCTAATATAGGACTAGTCATTGTGCAACCTTAGTACTAGCAGTCGGTCAGCCGACCACCCCATATATATGTACAACCTTGGGTATGTGTCTCCGACAACGCCCCAATATAAGGGAACATTACAAGAACACGTTCATTAACTTAGAAATTTTCCAATTATTACACGAACACCTTCATCAACTTAGATAATTTTAATCCATTTTTTCTATTATATTACAAATGTTATTTATCTTTGTTATTGCAATATAATCGACTTGTATTTATATGATTTGATATATTTTGAACATTTTAAGCAGGTTTTTAATAAATTTAGAGATTTTTTGAGACATTTTATGCGTTTAATAATATATATAATATTCAATAATCCAAATGGATATTTTTGAACTTTATGCTTATTATTTGCATTTGATTGTTTAAATTATAATTTCTATGACATTTTTAAATGTCTGTATAATGAATTTAATTATTATTTATTAATATTAATTATGAGGCGTCACAATCCACCCCCAAATTTTATGTTAATGATCCACATAGTGGAGTCGTTAATATAAAATTTTAGTATTTTGAGAGCATATACACTACACTCAAATAATTGTTTATATATCTGTTCTTTCCTCTTTTAATCTGTTACAATACGGCATATGTTATCAAATCCCCCTGCCCCAGAGAATGGCCGCCACCAACACCCCTTCAACCACAATTATCACAATGTGATAACACCATAATTCAAGTTATTGTATATCGTGTTGTTAATAAAGTTTGCAGTCAATTGTCGATTTCTTATTCTATTAATTTATCTTTAAATCTTTGAAACATTATTTCGATAGTGTCACACTTTATGTGCATACAATCCAGTTTGATATTTGTTGAGGTCAGTTCGATACCACATAGGATAAATGTGTTTGAGCCATTCGCCCTGACCCAACTCCCATATTTATTTAATAAAAATGATTACAAAACTATCTTACGATCTATAGTTACAACTCTTCATTATATATTAATAACGTTCTACTATCATATAACAAATCTCTTGCTCATAACTTTAATAATTTTAGACCTTTACCTTAAACAATTATTTCCATGGGCCACCCACAAAACCCTTTTATGTTACAATATTTATTTAATTACTCTAATTTATACAAAAAGAAATTATTATTTAAAATATTTTAATAAGTGAATAGCATTAAAAATTCCTCTAATTTCGTTTGTCTCTGGATTTGCTAAGGTATATACATTGTCAAATGGTACGGCTGCTATTACATAAGGTCCTTCATATGCCAAATTGAACTTACTCATAACTTTATTATCAGCATCTGATCTATTAGATCTTGAAATTTTAACTAAGTCACCAATATTATATTTTATTAATCTATTTCGCTTATCAAATTTTGTGTTTCTTATTCGACTTGCCTCTTTTAAATTTTTACGCGCTTGTTGTCTAATTTGTTCGACATTATGTTTGTCTTTACTTTTAGAAATTACTTTGTCAAAAGACATCTCATTAGACTCACCATAAAGAATCTCACAAGGCGTGAAGCCTGTACTATTGTGATAAGAATTATTATACAATTCTTCTAATTTCGGCAATATTAACGCCCAATCTTTGTGGTTAGTATGACAAAGCGTCCTAAATAATCTGCTCAACTCTTTATTTACTCGCTCTGTTGTATTTGGTCTAGGATTTCTAACTGTGGTATATATTGGCTTTATATTTAATTCACTCATTGATTGTTTCCAGTGATTACTTACGAACTGTTTTCCATTATCTGTCATTATTGCCTTGGGCTTTATAATCTCAACAAAATGCTTTACTTTTGTTACAACAGACTTTGCTGTTGACTGTTTTAAAGGATATAATTTGATAAATTTACTGAATGAATCTTGAATGACAAATATGAAAGTGTACCCAAAGGTACCTGATACAAGCGGTCCATATAAGTCTGCCATGACTATATCGCCAATGTTTTCTGTTATTATAGATTTGCAGGGACCCACATATGTTATATTGCTTTTCTTAGATAACTGACATAAATGACAAGACCTTAATTGGTTTTTAATATCTTTTGTTAAACCTTTCCAAAAGAATCTGTCTCTCACATATTTAATTACCTTATAGGGTCCTTGATGACCCATTTCGACATGCACTTGCTTTATAATATCTTATCTCAATGCTTTAGGTAAATATATTACTTCTTGTAAATTCGTTTTGTAATATAATACATCATTTTTCAAACTATATCTTTTAAATTTATTGTTTTGTTTTATTATGGAAGTATTTAATGTCTTTAACTTTTCAATAATAGCCAACGACTCTGAATTTTGTAATTGATATACTGATAAGGATTTTAATTTTTCTATCAACTCAATATTCGGTTCGCTCTCTGTGTAAGCAATTTCTAAACTATTATTTTTATCCTCTTGTATTAAATCGCCATCAGGAGGATAACGTGATAGCATATCTGCAACAATATTACGTCTACCCGATATATGCTGTACTTCATAATTAAATTGTTCTATATACAAAATCCATCGGGTTACTCTACCATTGAATAACTTCATATTATTAATAAACAATAATGCTTTATGATCAGTTAGTATTATTACTTTACTGCCCCGCAAATATGTTTTAAATTTCTTTAGGCAGCTTATTACAGCATAAAACTCTTGTTCAGTAACAGACCAATTTAATTCGGGGCCTTTTAAGGCTTTACTATAATAGCCTAAAATTCTCATTTCATTATTATCATCTATCTGATATAGTACTCCGGCCATACCCACACCGGAACAATCTGTTTGTAAATAATACGGCTTATTAAAGTCTGGATGATGCAATTGTATTGTATTAATAAATTGTTGTTTTATAAAATCAAATGCCTTCTGTTCTTTACCGCTCCATTGGAACTTTCGTCCCTTTTTAAGTAATTCACAGAGCGGTATTATACTCTCGCTGTAATTTGGTATAAACCTTCTATAAAAATTGCATAGACCTAAAAAGGCCCTTAATTGTTTAATCTTTTTAGGTGCTGGAAACTCTTGGATCGCTCGAATCTTATCGGGATCTGTCTTTATGCCTTCTGTTGAAATTATAAAACCCAGCATTTTAATTTCTTTACAAATAAATTCACATTTCTGCAAGTTACACGTTAAGCCAGCTTTGTTCAATTTACTTAAAACAATATCAATGTGCTCCAAATGTTTATCTAACGTTCCTGTTGTAATAATGGCTAGATCATCTAAATAGTTCACACAAAATTCTTGGACTTCTGGTCCTAATATTAAATTCATGGCTCTGCTAAAGCTTCCTACTGATGTTTTTAATCCTTGCGGCAAAACATTATATACATATGACTTTCCATTGAATGTGAATCCAGTATATTTTCTACCATCTTTATTTATTGGAATTTGAAAATATGCATTATTTAAGTCAATGGTAGTGATATAATTCGCCCCGTGAAATGAATTCAAAACATCTAATTGTATAGGTGGTTTCTCTGTTTCTGCAACCATTTTCTTATTTATGCTTCTGGCATCAAGCAGAACTCTAATTGAGCCGTCTTTTTTAAGAGTGAATGTCAATGGACTACTGTAAGGCGTTGATGTCCTTGTGATGATACCAGCTTGTTCCATTTCATTTAACTTTTCTTCCATTTTCGCTCTATATGCATATGGAATGGGATAGGACCTAGTAACTATAGGTTCATCATCGATCATTTCAATTTTATGCTCATAGCAATTGGCTCTTCCCAATTTGCTCGAAAACATATTCTTATGCTTTTCCAAAACCTTACTAAGTTTTGCCCTTTCAGAGACCTTCAATGTAGATCCTATTTTTATATTTATTAAGGGATCATCGGTACATTGTTTGATGCAGTTATTATGTAATACAGATTTATTATTATATTTGAAAGGTATAAAGTAGTCTTTGTTTTTCACTTTAAATTCTATTCCAACAGTAGTATTTCACAAATCAATCAATATTTTATTTCTCTTGAGCCAGTCAAAGCCTAATATTAAAGGTCTTATTAAATTACCTACAATTAAAGTTTGTGTTTCAAAGACTACTTCATCTATCTTTATAGGCAATATGATCATCTGTTGTATTTTTGTGCTGCGCTGCCCAACAGCACCTTTTATTTGCATTGCTTTAACTGGCATTATTGATATTTTACGATTATTATCTTTAATTTGTAAATATAAACTTTCTGAAATGCATGTAACATCGCTCCCAGTGTTGAGGAGCGCGTCTATTTCTTTGTCAAATATTGAAACTTTAATTTCAGATCTCATATTCCCTATAAATTCCCTTTGATATTTATCTTCGTCTTCCTCGAAGACGGTTTGCACGAATAACTCCGTTATGGGCAAGTCCTACCTGGCTTTTAAGGTGTTTAATATGCTATTTACATTGTCGTTATAACCAAGGCCTTCTCTGTTAAAATTTGCTTTTAAAATAATAGGTTTTCGCAACCCTCTATTGTTTTTTCCCAATGTTTGACCAGGTCGCCAACCCAGTTTTAATAACATATTTAATGCTTTGTTCCCTTTTACATTATAAGGGGTCGAATCGGGAACTAGTTCGACCTCTACAGCTCTAAATTTGGCTCAGGAGCCGTAACATCAGGTTGGTCATTAGTGAAATGTATTTCATGTACTTCTTTAACCTTCTTTTTTCCCTCTTCGGGTTTACGCCATGTTTTGTATGATTGTTGTATTTCTTTATGTTTTTGCTCCGTATTATTATTAAACTTCCTCCTTTTCTCATTATAGTAAGGTTCACGACCTTCATCTTGTTTGTCGATGTCATCTAAGTTTCTTAAGAAATCTGTCGTGTCTATTATTGTCTCAATTTTAGCTATTCTCCATAATTGCTGCACAGTTTTAGGATAATGTCTGATGACATCAGTTACTAATTGTTTTTCAGGTATCGGATATGATAATGTTTGTGCCTTCTCAACCACATAAAGAAAATAACTAACCATGGTAGGGTGTGTACTTCTATTCCATTTATTTTGCACAAGGAATCTCTTTACTTTATTTTGTTCTTCTTCCCCCCAAAACACTCTTAGGAAGTCAGCTTTAAAATCATCAAAAGTTGTCCAACGCACATTATTAATGCGAGCCCAATACTTGGCTTCACCTACTAAGCACTCTTGTGCAATCGAAATTTCGAGACCATTAGATGGAACTTTCTTTAAATAATTGGTGAGATCTTCCAAAAATGATACTGGATGAGTATTTCCATTTCCAAATTTCGGCTTTTCTATTGTTACATTATGTACATTATATACAATATTTTGTCTAGGATCATTTACATGAGAGGTGCTCGCCCCGGACACCTCTCCTTGATTTATTTTAATTTGGTAATCTTTCGTTTGGTTAATAAATTTTTCCTCAAGATCCTTTTATTTTAACCTCAAAGGTTTTCACTGCATTCTTAATTAATTTCTGAAGCATTTTCATCTCATCTTTAGGCTTAGCCTTAATTGAGGTTGATTTTTTCTTATTTTTAGCCATTTTTAGTTTTTATTACCACTTGTTTTTTTTTTTTTTATACTTTTTGTGTCCTTCACTTACTTTAATTGAGTTTTTCCACTTATTTCACTTTATAATATATAGTATTGCAGTTTTTTTTTTTTTAACACCTGTTGTGTCCTTCACTTAGTTTAATTGAGTCTTTCCACTTATTTCAATCTATAATATATAGTATTGCAGTTTTTTTTTTTTTTTTTTTTTTTTTTTTTTTTTTTTTTTTTTTACACCTGTTGTGTCCTTCACTTAGTTTAATTGAGTCTTTCCACTTATTTCACTTTTTATTATTTCGCTCCGTTATGCACACACCTCCTATATTATTACTCCATTTTAATATTTAAGCCCCACCCCCAGACTCTCAACCACCCCCAGCAAACACCACTCTCCAAGACACCGCTCCATTTCACGGACAACAAATTGTAGGCATATAGCCTACCTCATAATTTTATATTACCGGCCTCCTATTTAAAATTTAACCTCTATCCTGGTCACGGCACCAAATTGTAACGAACCCCCCCCCCCCCATCTTTTTTCTCTCTTCTACTATATCCCACTTATACTTGTATTTCTTTAGAATCTATATCTGTAAGATATATAAATATATCAAATTTACGTGACCAGTATAACTTGATCTTTCTAAAGGTTTAAATATAGGCCGTTTAATAAATTTATGGCGTGATCGTCTTAGTTAGGACCCTTTTTTACGTTGTGTTTGTATAGTAACTTAGTTCTTTTAGGTGTATCTTGGAAGAATGAATATTCACGAGAGCAATCGAAAGCTGTTGGTAGAGTCTTATAAGCTAGAGAACCCCGTTCACGAAGACAGAGCTCAAAAAGGTTAAGAACAATAAATTGTCCCTATTCCACTTGTATCTGGTTCACAACAGTCAATTCCTTATTAATTAATCCCTTCCCGCTTGGAAAAGGCTCACAATATTTATATCAAATACCAGTTACAAGGGCTTCGCTCTCCCACATTTTAAAAAAAAATGTGGAGGAGGTACACGGCCCCACACACGCCGCGCACGGTGAGCGCCAACCATTTTAATGCGCTCCCCCCGAAGGGTACGCAAAGTTGGGAACTGGACCGTAGTCCACAGCAAAATAACTGGCGAACCAGTAAAAGAGGACTTGGCCCCTTGATAGTGCGTAAGCACAAACATCGACCGAAGTCGCGCATGTCAATGCGTGTAAACGCCATACAGAATACGATCAAATCCAGTCACAGTGAATGTACGTCACACGGGTTAGGCAACAATAGGCACACTGACCATAAAAAGCCTTCCGTGAGCGCCACCACCTGCCAGACCGCCGTTCCTGCAGACGTGATGTAAGTGTAAGGCATCACCACCAATTGCATGGTCAGCACGGCCAATTGGCCGCAGAGCGTGTCATGAGTCTACCGCTCACCTCAAGGGAATGGGGTCCCACGTTGCGCGGCTTTCGGCCGCAGCCTTGAGAGCCTCCTCAGATTCTCCCTCCAGCTACCACCCGCATGAGGTCAACACATATGCTCCACCAACCAATACAATGGCAGATATAGCCAATAGGCAGTTATAAGATAATATTAATAATTCGCCATCAGAAAGGGTTTGTGTCACTGA